TTGCTTCAAGTTGTTTCTTTTCTCAACTGTTTTGCTTAATATAACACTTCTAAAAATGGGTTTTATTGTGGTTCAATGGGAAAACGAGGAAAGCGTGAGTGTTTTAAATGAAAAGAAAGTCGTTGGCGCCGTGGAATTAAAAGAAGGGACAATTAACAGTTGACATATCGACTGGTTCAAACAACGATCGAGTGGCCATTTAAAGCTAGGATTTTTAGAAGTTTGTGGTGAGTACAAATTGCCATATTCGTTACGTGATTAAAATCTTCTTAAAGAATAGAAATAACGGCTTGAATTAAGCTTACCTAACGCTCAGCGCAACTGAAACTCAAATAATTCTGAGAATCGAATTGGTCACTTGCATGCTGCAGTTTCCTAAGCTTACACTTTACAATGAAATAAATCTATGAGTAAGGTTTCAAGATTACTTTAGTCACATTTGGGAACATTCTGACCTTGCTTTGCTTTGAAAAATTCGACTGAAGAGAGAGCAAACTTTCAATCAGTACCTTTGTCAAAATTTTGATAACATGAATAAATGAGGTTTTGTCTTTCTTCTATTCTTTGATACACAACAGCCAATTTTTTAAACGTTGAGCCTTATTACACTGTAGATGGTCTGCTTAAATGATGAAGAAAAAGTAATATGCTGAGTTGTGCTGTTATTCTTTGAAAATGTTCGGTTAAGAAATTTGTTAATGAAACAAGTCAAACACATGCTGGTTCATTGCAAATAAATTATGAGATCTTTATCACATATAGTCTGTGTATTCATTTACTGTTTGAATCATTTATGATCAACAGCTTGGTAAGACAATGGGATCCCATTGGAGGTGTTAGTATGTTCTATAGCTAGTTGGAAAGTTCTGGACCCTCAGTGGATTGATGGGGTCTATTGCTCACCTAGAAAATTTTATCCTCTTAATTTTACGGATTAGGTTACAAAAAGAATTGATAAGATATCCTATCTGGTACATTTCATAAATCTGTGGTCTCCAGTGATAAACAGGATCCCTCAAGGGATTTTTCTGAAAGTGGGAAGCCATCTGTAATTTTATGCAGGGTCTAAACTGGGATTGGCAGGATCCCAGATGCAATCCCACCTGGGATATGATTTCCCAGGTGGGAAACTATCTGATATTTGAGGCAGGATCCCAAGAGGGATTGGTGGGATTCTAGGTTTAATCCTGCCCGGGATGTGCTTTCCCAGGTAGGATGCTATTAGGAATTTAAGATCAATTCTTCAATTGGCGGGATCCCAGGTGGGATCCCATGCAGGATGTTCCATAATCCCAGGTGGGATCCCATGCGGGATGTTCCATAATCCCAGGTGGGATCCCATGCGGGATGTTCCATAATCCCAGGTGGGATCCCATGCGGGATGTTCCATAATCCCAGGCGGGATCCCATGTGGGATGTTCCATAATCCCAGGTGGGATCCCATGCGGGATGTTCCATAATCCCACCCGGGATCCCACCTGAAAAAGGCGGGATCCCACCCGGGACACACCTGGGATCCCAGATGGGATTGGCGGGATCCCACCTTATATTTTTACCTGGGTATTACTGATCTGCAATTTCGTATACCGGCACCATTCCAACCATTATAAAACTGATTACTTATCGATATATCACCTAGGGGGTTTTCCCTTTCAGAACAAGAGCAGGGATCATTAGAAGTAGTGTGCCTCTTAGCAGCTTTCCAAATGTGGTGCAAGATTGGCTAGCCTATATACATACAAAGGCATGTCTTGAAGCATTGCTTCATTTGCAACACAGAAAATGTTTGGATCCATCTAATCTCGTCCTACTTTTTGTAAAGCGCTTGTTCAAGCCTACTCGCTTATCTAATAACTCTTAAATTGGAGCCAAGGGTCTGTGATTGAAGATAACAAATATGAGATCTCATCTCTTCAAGTTTCCAACCAAGGTTATCAAAGTACATACTGCTGAAATTTTACTGTCAGTCTTTACGATGCAGGATGATTTATCCTCAAGTACTTCTTTTCATTTTAACCTCTCGTTCACTGAATGCTCCTTCGCATTTTTTTTCTTTAAGAAGTACTTAGCGACAGCGAGCCGAATAGGAGGCCACATAAAGTATATCATAACTTAAAGAGATTGTTCAGCGATCTTCCTCACCTTATCTGGAGGTGTAAATC